CCGGCCTCAATGATGTCATGGACGGTACCTCTCCATGCGTGATGGTGGCAGAAGCGGGTCTGGAGAGCTCCACCCAGTCTCTTCTCCATCGACGGAGACCGAAGGTCCAAGAACTGCTTGACAGACGGTGTCGAGCCAAGTCTTCCGTTGCCCTCTTCGACACCTCCAATTTGACTGCGGCGGTGGGTTGAGGGCAGCATATCTAAGCTCGTGGGGCGGACGGCGGAGAAAATGTTTAAATTGTTGTAACGGAGGCCCAGGCCGACTTATCACCGCGTAATGTGTCGCCGAATTGTTGTAACGGAGCCCAGGCCAAAATATTATCCGTCTAATTACGCCTCATGTGAGCTCCCAAAGAGAGAACACGAGAAGTCTTTGAGTATAAGAGGAACAACACATTTAGGGAAACGAACGCGTGTAAGATAGGTCCACGAACCAATCAGATTCTTTTCTGAAATAGTGGCCGGTCCCATTGGTTGTTGGGTCAGTGCATGACTGTAGTTTGAATTCTGAATTATCGATCGGTTGACGGCTTGTGTACGTTCGCCCGTGTAGACTGATCGATAGCCTGCTTGGAGTGTGGCTATGGCTTGCAAGCCGCTGTTTGCTAAGGCTGTTCGTTAGGCTGTCCTAACGTAAACCTCCGACTAGAATGGCTGGCAAATATGGGTTATGCAGAGCACGCAAGATGCCCCAAACTCCGGGATTCTGTATTAGGGGACCGGTATTAATAGAGGTTTTATGGGTGAGGAATCACGAGGGTACAGGAGGGGCTGAGTATTGTTTGTTTATGAATCCACGTGTTACCAACTCCCCACTGTTAGTCCCACGGCGGAGAGTAGGGATGCAGGCAGGGGCAATTTCGGATGTTATTAACCGTCGTCAGCCAGCCATACTTCGGCCCAGGTGTGGGTAACCTGGGTTCCGGGCACATTCTTTGGTTGTGAAAATACGAGTCAGATGCCTCTGCGGCTCTTGCATACATGCCCGCGTGCATTGTTAGTCTTTTCGTTCATTCCTTTGTCTTTTTGCTGCATTTCGCCGTGCGGTATGAGAGTGTAGCTGCTCGACTCATCGGAAATGCGCGTTGGGCCGTCATCTTGCATCCTTGCTGTTACTCCTGCAGCGGAAGGTAGGGTGGGGGGGTAAAGGCGG